TCCAAGCACTTCTTTGGGGATCGGCGGCAGAGGCGGCAGCCTTGAATTCCGGCCGCTCCTGCCCTGCGGTGTGGGCCGTGCGAGACCACTCTGTCAGCGTGCATGGCAGGATTCGCCAGGGTCTGGTCAAAACCTTCAGAATACCTCCTAGGGGCTCAACCTCTGTCGGCGGTCCCTCACAGACCCCCCCAAGTCGAACGACTTAAGGGCCCCAAGACGACCCTACCAACGCCCAGGGGCGACCCGCGAGCGCCCCAAGACGGCCCAAGAGAGTCCCACAACGGCCCTGGAGAGCATCCTCTAGATGGCCTCCAGACGTCCCCAGACGCCCCTGCGATGCCCCAAGAGGCCTCCAAAATGCGCCCCAAGAAGGTCCCCAGACGCAAAAAATACCCCATTCCCTTTGTAAAACGTACGTGTTTCACAACTTCATTTTTTATGCTTTCCGACGCTCCAAGACGGCCCAAGAGGCCTCCAAGACCGTCCCAAGACAGCCCAAAAAGCCCCCAAGAGGGCCCAAAGACAGCCCAAGAGAGCCCCAAGACGGCCCAAGAGGCGCCCAAGACGGCCCAAAAGGGCCCCAAGAAGAGCCCAAGAGGGGTCTGGAGGGGCGCCACGAACGGAAAGCTCGAGCCTTCCGCTCCAAGGACCGCCAGGAGGTCCCAAGAGGCAACCGGGAGGCCTCAAGGAGCTCCCAGGAAGCCCCCCAGGAGGCCCCAGGAGACCCCCAAGAACCCTCAAGAGGCCCCAAAACGGCCCCCAAGAGGCTTCGAACCTGCTTCCAGGAGGCTTCCGAGAGGCACGAGGCTCCCGAGAGGTTACCTCAAACTCCCACGGAGCCCAAATACAGCCCACGGGCACCCCAAGACGTCCCAAGAGAAGCCCAATACAGCACAAGAGTGCCGCAAGAGAGCCCCAAGAGGCGGAAATCGAAAGGACACTTCGAGCTTGCCGCCACAGCGAGACCTCCGACCCCGCCAGCAGGCTCCCAAGAAACATTCGATGGGCCCCAAGAAGCCCCCAATAAGCCCAAAAGAGGCCCAAGAGAAAGCCCAAGAGGCCCCCTAACGGCCCCTAAGAGGAGCCGAAGAGGCTTCAAACCTGCCTCCAAGAGGCTCCCGAGACGCTGCGTCAAATTCCCAGGGAGCGGCCGGTGATGCGCCGCCGGCGTTCTCTATATCCGGCCGTGCACAGATGGGTCGAGGGGAGTGTGCAAGTAACGCCTAACTGGGTAGATGTATCTGCACGGAGTACTAACAGGGCGAAACCAATCGTTCGCAGAGATGTACGAATTGTGGCATTTACCAGCATGCATTTGAAAACAGGCACAGCTCATGTTTTATATACGTTCGTATGTATAATGGCGCCGATGCCTGGAACCAGAATCATTAACGCTCATGCAATCGCCGAAGCTGCCGTCTCTCAATTATCAGCGGGCCATTTTCTGCGAGGGCAATTCGTGCATAGCCTCTGCTGGCATTCCAGCGCAATATTAGCCGAGAAAGAACGTGCTCATCGCGAGATACCAAATGCTGGCGTCATTCGATTCTACCTCTCAGGAAGAGCAGCACCCTCCGTCCACGAAGACTGGGTAGGTCGTGATGGAACTGTCGCCCGCGATCTCCCCGACGACAAACCCTTGCTGCCGATCCGCGTCGCAGCTTTCGTCGCCGCCCTCGCCGACGACCCAGTACTTGTTCGGCTCGATGGAGACGGCGCTGGCGTTGTCGACGCCGTGGCGGTGGCCGCCGAAGTACGTGATGTTGTGCCTGGAGTTGTCCGCCAAAGCCCTGAGGAAGTTGGGGGAGCTGACGAAGTAGTCCGTCGGGTAGTGGGAGAAGACCACGAGCGACTTGGCCGTGGACTCACTGTTGCGGTTGAAGAAGAGCTCCAGTGCCTCCAGGGTACGATTCCTGATGACGCTGACGCACTTGGCGACGCAGCCGCTCCGTGCGCACTCCCCGAAGGCCAGATCCCCTGGCCCTCTCCCAGGGGTCTCGGGGCTGGCATCGCAGAAATTGTTCAGGTCCAGGCCCACGATCTCGATCGCCATTTCTGGAAAGGCCCTGAAGTAGCTGGTGCCAGGCATCTGAAAGTACTCGAGGTTCTGTTCGTCGTAGTTCACCTGCGCGCACTCCGCATCCGCGTCGACGCACGCGCAGGGGTCCGAGCGGTAGTCGTGGTTCCCGTATACGCTGTACCAGGGAACGCTGCGGAGCTGCTCGCTATAGATCCAGCGCCACGCCTTGTCCCATTTCTCGTCGTCCCTGCCGAGGACGCCATTGTCTTTGAAGGAGTCGCCGACGTTCACCACGAACTTCACATCCCCCAGCTCGCTCATCTTGACGTCCATCGCCCTCGCGACGTCAAGCCTGCATCTCATCGAGCTGACGTGCGTGCCTCCGTCAACTCCCACGTCACCAACAACCAGGAAAGAGCCCCGCCTCACGGGAAGTGTCTTCGCCAGGCCTGGCGTCCTGGGCCCCAGAGCGCGGCAAGACCAACTCTCGTCCGCACGGTCCTCTGGCTGGGGTCCAGGCGTGCAGTCTGGCTTGCAGGAGCTCCAGCCCTGGTTCTTGGAGTAGCACTGGTGGCCATCCTGACTGCAACACCTTGTCAAGTTGCAATTTTCGCCACTGACCGAGCACTGCGTCCTGGCCCATGCTGGCACCACCAGGCTCGTGACGCTCGGCTCCAAGACCGTCCCGGGTGTGCGTGGTCCGATCTCTTCGCAGCTCCAACTCCTCCCGTCGACGTCGGTCAAGTCTGGGCCTGGCATGCAGGAGGGCTTACACTGGGCCAGTGACTTGTCCTTAGCGTAGCACTGCATGCCCTCCTCGCTGCAGCACCTGGTGTTCTGGCAGTTGTCCTTACCCGAGGAGCAGTACTGTTTCGCCCAACTTGGTACAGGCATGCCCGTCCAGTTCACCTTTGTCGCTCGGCCAGGCGTCCGCTGCCCAAGCTCCAGACAGGACCAGATCGATCGTTCGAGATAGGCGGACATGTCTGGACCAGCAACACACTCTACCCTGCACGCCGCCTCCCCGGCGCTCTTCTCGTAACACTGCTCGCCTGCCCCGACACAGCAGCGACTCTCGAAACAGTTTTCCCTCGAGATCGCGCAAGGCGGCGGTGGAACTGGCGTGGAAGCTGCAGTGGGAGCTGGAGTGGGAGCTCGGGTGGGAGCCGGAGTGGTAGGCGGCGGCGGGACTGGGGTGGGAGCTGGAATGGCTGCCCTCTCAGTCGTCACTGCCGCCATGTCTGGCATCACTGCGATCCCGTTTAAGCCCTCGCCAACCATCGCATCCACACCCGGCATCGCTGGAGTAGAAACCTTCTCGACCGTAACTGCCGCCGCGTCTGTAGTCGTTGCGACCCCGTTGGAATCCGTGCCAGCCGCTGCTGCCACGCCCACCATCGCCGCGCCACTGCCGCCACTGCCGCCCTGGACATCGGGGTCCACCGACTCGCCTGCGGCTGCGCTGCGTCCTGTTGGCACGACGATCCTGCCTGGCATTGCTACATCAGGCCGCGCCGCCGTCACGTTGGCGATGGCCGCGCCCTCTATCGGTTCCTCAAGGGTGCGCTCCCCGACCTCTGTCGGTGCGCTTGAGCTCTGCTGGCGCTGCTGCGTGTAGATCACCAGGGCGCCAAGCAAAACCACGACTACACCCCCAACCAGCACCAGCGACGCAGTGTACTTCTTGCCCTCGGGGTGCGACCAGAAGGTCGCCTCAGGCCTTGCACGGTGCACGGCTTGTCTGTTGCTGATGTGCTGGCGTCTGCTGCACCCATCCTCGACAGAAACATCATAGGGCTCGCCAAGATATATGTCGTCTCGATCGTTAGTCAGAGCCCTGGAGCAGTCCTTGAGCAGCTGGTCCGTCCCATCGTCAAAAGGACCGTCCCAAACCATGCGGCGACGCCCGCTGTGCGGGGGGGTGCGCGGGGGGGTGCGCGGGGGGGTGCGCGGGGGGGTGCGCGGGGGGGTGCGCGGGGGGGTGCGCGGGGCGGGGGGCTGCCCTGGGGGGCTGCGCGGGGAGCTGCGCGCGAGGCTGCTGCGCTGGCCGCACGGGCTGCGCTGCGGCGTGTCCCGAGACTTCGCGTCGCGGGACTGGCGCGGCGAGAAGGGAAGGCTCGTGGTACCCGCCGCCGGGCCCCTGCCAGCACGGTCCGAGCCGCCCCTCGGCCACATCCTGGCGCGCTGACGCGCAGTGAATGCCGGGCCAGGGGGGGCAGCACGAGCCAAGAGGCTACGGAGATGCGCAGGCCACACGGAGAGGAGCTTAAAGACCGGTACGTTCACAAAACATTTCCCCGAAACGGCCCAGATGGCCCAAGATGGCCTCCAAGATGGTCCCGAGATGCCTTGAGAGAGCCCACGATGGCCCCAAGAGATCCCAAGATGGCCCCAAGATGTCTTCGAGACAGCCCAATGTGGACCCAAGACGGCCCCCGATGGCCCCAAGATGGCCAAGAGAGTTCTGAGAGGACCTCCAGGAAGCCAAAATCATAGATTTCCCCTTTAAGTTCCTACATGATTTTAGCGTTCTCGCCTTTTCGGGTTCGCTGTGCTCCAAGATGGCCCCACAGACACCCAAGATCGCTCCAAGACTGCCCAAGAGCCCCCCAAAAGGGCCTTAAGACGGCCCAAGGCCCAAGACGGCCCAGGAGGCCCCCAAGACGGCCCCATAGACCTCCCACACGGCCTACAGCGCCCCAAAGGGACCAACGACTGCCAAGAGAGGGCCCTGCGACGGCGTTCGGAAGTCACCATCTTGCGCTTTTGGCCAGGCCCGTGTTGTGGAGCGAGGATCCTGCCCCAGGATGAGCCCATGAATCACGTTTCGTACCCACATGTGCACAGTACACACACACACACACACACACACACGCACACACACACACACGTTGTCTGTCCTTCGTGGTGTTCAGTTTTGTCAGCAGTGCAGGCGTTTCGGCACGGTGCACGTGCGCGACTTGAGCAAAGAATGTCCGCCTCGCCCTGCCAAAGCGGGGGCAGAGGTGCTCAGTCGAACGTCGAGGGGGCTACCCCCAAAGTGCGGAGTCCCCTTCCCGCAGCTCTGAACTGGTTCACAGTGCCCTGGCTTGGCCAGGTCTCCACGGTCCTCCGAACCGAACCGGATCCTTTCTCTTCCTCTCCCAATTGTTCCCCCAAGGTGTTCCACCACGGCTGGGGGAACACATAGTCCAATAGCTTGGCCAGAATTTCGGCCAAACGTTTGGCCGCATGGGCGTTTCCAAAAGGCAGGGGGCGGCGGTGACTCGTCGTAGGCGTCTTCGAAAAGAAAAGTATTGCCTCGGGGGCACGTCGGGCGTGACCCTTCAACCGCCCTCCGCGAAATTATCCGAACGCATGCGAACCTAAGGTTTGAGTTGTTAGACAGCATGGACCCTGAACAATGAGTGGTTGCACTGTGGAGGTGGGAAATACGGTGCGCAGATTATGTGGTATAGTGAGGTGCGCAAGCTATGGTGTGCGAGCTGTGGGCCATGACCTCCCGCCCCGCCGCGCACGCCCGCGGGGGCGCCGGGGGGGCTGCAAGCGCCAAGCGCCCACGCGTGGAGGATCGTGCCCAGGCCGGGCCAGCAGGCCGCGCCGCATGCACTGCACCGGTGGCCCCCGTTCGGCAGCGCCTCGCCGCCGCTGCCAGGAGGCCCCGCCGCCGCCACCACCGGAGGCGAGGGGGCGGAGGGGACCCCCGCGCCCGCGCACCCGCCCGCCGCGCGACCCCCAAGGAGGGCCCGCCGCGCGAGGGCGGCGCCACTGAGCCAGACAGGCTGCAGGGCTCTCGCCCTGTTTGCACCCCCGCGGGGGTCCGAGGGGGAGCTACGTGTATAAGCTACGGTCTGTAAGCTGTGTGGTGCGAGCTATGTGGTGCGAGCCACGATGTGCAAGCTGCACTGTGAGAGCTGTGTTGTGTAAGCTGTGTTGTCTGAGCCATGTGGTGTGAACTGTGTGATGTAAGGTATGCTCTGGAATGTGTGTGGCGTGAGCTCAACGGTCATAACAGAGCAGAGCATGCTATGTATTGTACGCGATGCTGTGTAAGCTATGTGGTGCGAGCTATGCGGTACCAGCTATGCAATGCAAGCTATGTGGTGAAAGCTATGAGATCTAAGCTATGGTGTGCAAGCTACGTGGTGTGTAAGCGCACGGGGCGCCCACGAGCGGGTACAGACGCCAACGAGGCGAAACCCTGGGAAACCCACTCAGCGCACAGGGCACCCACGAGGCGCCCACGAGCGGGCACGGGCGCCAACCTGGCAAAAACCTGGGAAGCCCATCCAGCTCCTGCAAAACACCAAATGAGAAACTCCGAGTGCAAGCACTGCTCGGGAAACTACGTCGGATGTCTGGGGAGGAGGGGAGGTGCTGCAAGAACCGTGCATGCTAGTCGTAAGCGCAAGATCCGTAGCCCACTTTAGCTCAAGGCCAATATGATGAGGCGACGTGGTCGCCGAAAGCTTACTCAGAGGGCTTGAAAAAACAAGCTATCCCAATCACAGGCTTGACGTGCTACAAGAATTTGGCGGCGCCTACAAGGAGGTAGGGGCAGGGAGGAGGCTTCTTGAAAGGAGGGTGCTTCTTAGAAGGCGCCAGCCTTACATCTACAGACAAGGCTCATGCCTGCTAAGAAGCAGGAGTGCTCTAAGAAGCCTTCCACCCCCCCTACCCCACCCCCTGCGCGTGGCCGATTGTCAACACCTGAAAGCCCCGACCCTTTCCCAAGGGCCTTACATTTCCCCCATGCAACTCTCGCGGCCATGATTGGTTTGTATGTGAATATATATATATATATATATATATACATCTATAAATGTATATATGTATATCATGTGGTATTATGTGATCCGTTGCGCTACGGTCCATACGCCGGCTGATCAGCAGCTGGTTTCTGTCTACTAGCCGTGAGCCGGCTCGGATGAAAATCGCAGATGCAGTGGGAAGATATCTACCCATGTATGGAAAGTTCGAACACGCTGGCCGGTCCAGCCGGCATGCCAGGGGGGAGCGCCAGGGAGAGAGGGGGGGCAAAAAGAGTACCAGTGCACGACGGGTGCAGCATTGGACGACCGAGCCACGAAGCAGGAGGAGGCGAGGCGAGGCCAAGCCCACGGGGGCCCGAGGGGGGCCCGAAGAGGAGGGGGGGGGGGGGAAAGGCGGAGGCACAGACCAGAGGAGCGCCGCCCAGGCGCCCACCTGCCGACCTGCCTCGCCCGAGCGGCGCCCCACTCGCGAACACGCGCCGCCCTGGGGCGTCCGGCGACACGGCGCCCGCGACTCTGCCCCAGGCCAAGCTGCACACCGCATCCGCATCCGTGAGCCACTCACGGTGCACATGCCGAAAGCTGGGCGAGGGCTGCTGAAACCGTGGCTGCTGAAACGGCCCTCCTGGAAGGAAAAAGCAACTTCCCGGAAGGAGGCGCGGCACGCGAAACAGTCAACGGGCTTCTTCCGGAAGGACGAAGACGACTTCCCGGAGGTCGATTGTAGCAGCCACGGGCCCTTGCCCGGCTTCCGAACATGGTCTATGCCCCGGCCGGCTTTCCCTTTCCCCAGGGCGTGCTCGTCGTCGTCCAGAAACGTTTTTGACGGCCCGGGGGCCCAATGAGGGGCCACCGGAGGCCCCAGTCGGCGAGAAGCCTGCGCACTGCGCCTGCTTAAACACGTCAGAGGCCCGGAAAGACCGCCGAAGGCATCCGAGAACCTCCGATAAAACCTCCGAGCGCGCGCCTCGGCCTCGAGCTGCCAGCGGCGCTCGCCTCTTCCGCCCGCCCGGCCCCCCGCAGCCTCCGCCCCCCCTCTCGTTTCCGTGCGCCTGGCCGCCTCAGACTCGGGATGGGCCTCCCCGGGCCTCTCTCTGCGGGGCCAAGCCGCGCCTCTCGTGGCGCCGCCTCTGCACGCCCACGGTGACCAGGCCAGGGCATCGAGGCACCGCTCCCCCGTGCACCCTGGGCGGTCCTGCGAAGGGCTGGCGACGACGTCGTCGACGTCGGCGTCTTCGCCTCCGAGGCCTCTGAGGCGCTTCTGGAAGCTCTCGCTGCCGTGACTGCTACTATTTGGCGGCGAGCACGCGGGGGGTAGGGGAAAGGGGGGGAGGCTTCTTAGATTAGGGTGATTCTTAAAGGCGCCGGCCCTACACCAACAGACAAGGCCCGCGCCTTCGAAGAAACAGGGGGTGTTTCTAAGAAGCCTTCCCCCCTCCCCCGACCCCCCCCCTGCGCGCGGGCGAAAGACGGCTCGCAGACCGCTGCCATGCCGAGTCCGACCACCCGGCGCGCCTGCTTGTCCGCCTCGGACAGCCAGGCGAACGTGCGCGCGACGTCGGTCCTGGCCGCTCCAGGAGCGGCCCCGCGGTTTGCTCCGCCTGCTGCCAGTCCCCACGAGTTGCCCCCCCGCCCGTCTGCTGCACCAGATATCCTCGCGTCGCCAGCGCGCTGGCCAAAGGACGCCGCCAGGCGGGCGCGGCCTAGTATTCCTCCTCCTCCTCCTCCTCTTCTTCTTATTCTTCTTCTTATTCTTATTATTCTTATTATTATTATTCTTCTTCTTCTTATTATTCTTATTATTCTTCTTCTTCTTCTTCTTATTATTATTATTCTTCTTCTTTTTCTTCTTATTCTTCTTATTATTATTCTTCTTCGTATTATTCTTATTATTATTATTCTTATTATTTTTCTTCTTATTCGTATTATTATTCTTCTTCTTATGAGTATTATTATTATTATTCTTATTAGTATTCGTCTTATTATTCTTCTTCTTCTTATTATTATTCTTCTTATTCTTATTATTAGTATTATTCTTCTTCGTATTATTACTATTAATATTATTATTATTATTCTTAGTATTCTTATTATTCTTCTTAGTCTTCTTATGATTCTTAGTATTCTTCTTATTATTATTATAATTAGTAGTATTATTATTATTCTTATCATTATTATTATGATTCTTCTGATTCGTCTTCTTCTTCTTCTTATTGTTCTTATTATTATGATTATTATTCTTCTCATTCTTATTATTCTTATTAGTCTTATTATTATTACTAGTATTAGTATTATTATTGCTAGTATTATTATTATGTCATTATTCTTATTTCTTAGTAGAATGATTATGATTGGTATTATTTGTATTATTCTCATTGTTACTTTGATTGATATTCTCACGATTCGTATTATTGTTATTAGTAGTAGTATGTTCTTCTTCGTAGTATAATTCGTATTACTCGTCGTACGATGTGTTGATATTCTTCTTAATAGTAATATTCTTCTTAGTATGATTATTACCATTCGTATTAGTATTATTATCATTATTATTCGTCTTATTCTTGTTATTCTGCTTCTCGCCATTTATTCGTCGTCGCAGTAGTAGTAGTATTAGTATTGCTCGTATGATTAGTAGTATTCGTGTTATTATGATGAATATTAGTCTCAGTATTATTAGTATCATTACGCTTTGTATTATTATTCTCAGTTTCATTAATCTTGGTAGCAGCAGTATTATCCCTGTTAATAGTAGTATTATTCATATTGACGCTATGAGTATGCTTAATAGTAGTCTCCTTATTATTCTTATCATTCGTATTATTGGTCTTGACATTCTTCTTATTACTGGTACGATTAACATGATTACTAGTATCATTATTCACAGTAGTAGTGTTAGTCGTATTATTCTTCTTGGTATTATGATAAGTATTCTTCTTACTATGATTAATAATACTGCTATTATTTTCCAACTCATGATTACTATTCCTCCTCCTCCTCCGCCTCCACCTCCTCCTTCTCCTCCTCCTCCTCATCATCATCATCCTCCTCCTCCTCCCCATCATCCTCCACATCCTTTTCCCCTCGTCCACATCCTTCTTCGCCGCCTTCCTCCTCCATCTCCCAGATCTCGTTGTCCAGCGGTGTCCTGATCAATTCGGTCCACTGGTTCTGCTCCTGACTCAGGCGGTCGTACTCGTCACCCTTGGGGAAGCTGCAGTGCCTCAGGCGGGCACTGGTCAGTTTGAAAGGGCGTTTCGGGCGCAGATGCGGCAGCAGTAAAGTTTCAGCGATGAAAACAACTGAAAGAAAGAACGTGCAGCTGATGCCGCGATGACCAAAGCCGATCGCATCGGCCTCATACCGATAACCCTCCTCGTCCTGGGCTGCTGGCGACGTCCCACCTGAAACGCACGCGGCGGAATCGCCGTCGCGTCAACAAGACGCGAACCTGCCGTAGACGTAGTCACAACTGTTCACGTAAGGCACCACACAACGCACAGAACGCGCCCGGGTGCCAAGGTAGCTTGAGCAGCGCACGAAGCACCGGACTGAAGGCGAGCGCACGACACATCGGCTCTTTAGTGCAAAATTCGAGGGGCGAAATGGGAAGAGGGGCACAGCTGGGAACTAGGAAGTGAAGGGAGGAGATCGGGACCGAGGCGGGGACCGAGGCCCAGCCGGCACAGGCACAGGAGTGCACACACCAAGACACGCTACGACACGACATCGAGGCAGGAGGATTATCGTCGGACAAGCTCGCGGGGTTGGCTACTCCTCCGCCCCTCCTGTTCCCTCCAAGTGCTCGATGCGTGGGTCCACGGGCCCTTCGGCCCCCTTCCCCAGGATTGCTTTTTTCATCTTGGGTCGTTGTCTGATGGCCCAGGGGCCCGAGACTGGCCTCCAGAGGCCAAGAATAGCGACAAATCGGCCGCCTCGATTTGTTCGATGCGCCGGATGTTTGGATCCTCCTCCTCCTCCTCCTCCTCCTCCTCCTCCTCCTCCTCCTCCTCCTCCTCCTCCTCCTCCTCCTCCTCCTCCTCCCCCCATCCTCCCCCCCATCCTCCTCCCACTCCTCTTCGTCCTCCTTCTCCTCATTTACTGACTCACTTCCCTACTTACTTACTTACTTACTGACTGACTGACTGACTGACTTACTTACTTACTTACTTACTTACTTACTTACTTACTTACTTACTTCGTTGTTTAAGTACTGACTTACTTGCTTGCTTACTTACTTATTTACTTACTTGCTTACTTACCTACTTACTTACTTACTGACTGACCTGCTTGCTGACCCACGGTTTTACTTACTTACTTACTTACTACTTACGCAGCGCCGTCGGGCACCACGCAGAACGCCCCTGCGCCCGCCGCGCGCTCCCGGTGAGCGTGGGTTACGCGGCGGCGGACCCGTTCCAGGAGGGGGGGAGAGGAGGGCCATCCACACTCCACTCATCCTGAAGCCCAAGAGGGCGAGGAGAAGGAGGAGCGACTGGGCCGCTCATGATGTACTTGATGTAGAAATTGCATATTGTCAATAGCGTAGCACTTGTAATCCCCTTGTCCGTAACGCTGTGCTGGCCCTTGCTATTATGCCGACAACATGTTGCACAAATCCTTTCACGTAGTGTTTCACCTCTGCGGCTTCCGCCGACTTGTAACTCTGCCTACCGTGGGCTCTTGGCCGTCCCCCCATAGGACCGCAGTCTACGGGGCGTCGGTTTGCACTATTACGCAATCGACGTATTTCTTGCCGAGCTTCGCCTCGACAGTATCACATATGGTGATCGTTCGCTTGGTTCCCTTGGGCTCCCGACTGCGGCGGTACCCTTTCCGCCTCGTCGTTGCCGAACTTCTCAGCAGGCATGTCCCAGATCACTTTGCGCATCTTACTTTTCACGTTTTGCCACTGCTGTGCCAGTAGCTGTTGGGAATGTGTTTCCGCGACTCCCCCTGGCAAGCCGTAGCTCTTGAGCCAAGGCATGTGGCTCCGACTGTCGATCCACTCGTGGACGGCCCACTCGAGTTCAGCAGGATGCTCTCGAGGCTCAGCCAGAAGTCCTCGTAGCTCTGTGCGTGGCCCTTGTAACCCAGCCTGTGGTCCTCGTTGTTCAGCCGGTGGCCCCAATAGCTCTGCTGAGGTTCTCGTCGGTCAGCCTGTGGCCCGGGTAGCTCCGCTGGTGGCTCTCGCAGTTCAGGTGGCCCTGATAGCACCGCTGGTTGATCTCGCAGCTAAGCCTGTGGCGCTCCTGTCTCCGCTGGTAGCACGCGTAGCGAAGCTGGTGGCTCTCGGACGGCGGAGCTCTGCTTGCGGCCATCATACCTCAGTTTGCTGCCCTCGAAGCTCAGCAGGTGGTCCTCGTAGCTGTGCTGGAAGCTCTGAAGATTCTGCTCATGGCTCTGGTAGTTCAGCAGGTGGCTCTCGCAGTTCTGCCCGAGGCTCTTGTTCTTGTGCTTGTGGCCTTTGTAGCTCAGCCGGTGGTCCTCGTAGCCCTGCGCGCGGCCCTTGTAGCCCAGCCTGTGGCGCTCGTAGCGCAGCAGGTAGCTCTGAGAGAGCACGCCCACCACACGTGGGGGGGTCCCCCGTAGCTACCCCCCCCTCCCCTTGGACCTCCCCCGCTGGACCACCCCCCCTGCTTGTCCCACCCCTCGAAAGCTCCCCCCCCGCGCTCCCCCCCCCCACCCCCCGCTCCCTTTCGGAGGGGGGGGCTTAGCTACCCCTCCTCCTTGGACCTCCCCTGCCAGAAGCCCGCCCCCCCCCCCTGCTTTTCCGCCGCTCGGAAACCACACAACCCCCCCTTCGCACTCCAAAAACTGCCCCCCCCCACTTTCGGAAGAGGGGGGGGTGGCTTAGCGCCCCGCCCCCTTTGAACCTCCCCTGCTGGAAGCCCCCCCCCCCCCCCTTTTTGCCTAAAGGAGAAGGAAAGGGAGAGGGGGGTGGAAGCCCCCCCCTTTGGCCAAAGGAAGGAAGTCCGAAAACCAACAGGGCATGTCGAACCCTCGGCGCCAAGAGGCGTCCAGGCTGCCCCAAGCGCCCCCAAGAGGGTCCAAGAGACCCCTAAGAGGCGACAAGAGAGCCCCAACAGGCATCCAAGGCGCCCCCAGGAGCCCCCCAAGAGCCTCTAAACATGCAACACCGGAGCCCCCCGAGAACCCTCCGAAGAGACACCAAGAAGTATACACGCCGCATGGCCCACGAACGCGCACGCGAACGCCAAAGATGGCACAACACGGGCCGGCGGAATGAGCGAAGCGATGAAATAAATTTTGGGGTCAATCAATTCCGTAGTCGATCTCTTACTGGGGCCCGGCGTGAACCCCCTGAGGCCGAACATGGCGAAACAAGTCCGCCCTGACTTGTTCAAGACGTTGGATCTCTAGAGGCCTCCCAGATGGGGTCAGAGTAGATAGAGTCGGAGGATCGCGCCGCATCGCCGATGCATCGCCGATGCATCGGTGATGCGTCGGTGACGTCGGCAATACATCGGCGACGTCGGCGTGGAGAAAATCGGGCTCCACATCGAGCCGCATCGCCAATGCATCGGCGATGCGGCGCGGCCTTTCGACCCCATCCACACTCTGACCCCATGTAGAAAGCCTGGGAAGCGAGGCTGGGATTCGTCTATATCCACTGTCTGGGGAGCCGACGTCCTTGGACCCCAGCGGGCGGTGGATATGGATACACTTGGGCCACAGAGGCCCATCTATATATATATATATATATATATATATATACCCACCGCCCGCTGTGGCCCCCGAAGATCGACCCCCGGGCGGTGGTCATGGACAAATCCCCGCCTGGGACCGAATCTCCCCTGAGATCTGCTGTCTTCATTGCCTCCCGACGGGGCCCCCCGAAGATAAAGGGGCCCCAGGACACACGAATAAATACACACAAATAAAAATGTCCCCCATATTTCCCCATGTTTTCTGGGGTTCTGTCTTCCCCCCCCCACTTCCCATGTTTTCGCATATATTTTCTGGGGAATCGAGGATTCATTGTGCCTGTGCGTCTTTTTCCCTCCTGACTGATGTCTCCATTGCCTCCCGACGGGGCCCCCCGAAGTCTCGACCCACGCGCCAGGGAGGAGGGAGGAGGGAGGAGGGAGGAAGGGAGGAAGGCAGGAAGGAAGGGAGGGAGAGAGGGAGGAGGGAGGAGGGAGGGAGGGAGGGAGGGAGGGAGGGAGGAGGAAGGGGGAGGGGGATGAGGAGGAGGAGAAGGAGGAGGAGGAGGAGGAGGAGAAGGAGGAGGACCCACTCCCCCGGACCGGCTCCTCGCCCCGGGTCGCTCCTGGACGGCCCCGGGGCCCAGCGAGGCCCTCTGAGGCCCGAGAGCGGCGAAGACCGTCCGCCCCGACGTCTGCACTGGAAACCTCGGCCGAGGACGACATCTCTCTGCCCTCCACCCCGCCGACCAACTGTTAAGTCGGGCGTGTCCCCCTACAGGGGGGGGGGGTTCGACGAAAAGTAAGAAATGCCCCAAGAATAATCAAAATATAGTCCCAAAATAGTCTGGGGACTATTTTTTGATTTTTTTTTTACCTTTTGGGGGTATTTTTGTATATATATTTTTGCCGAAAATACCCCTGTAGGGGGACAGGCCCGACTTAACCCAACTGGCCGCGCGCCCGCCACGCCTGAGGCCCAGCAGCTCCGCCCAGGCGCGCCACCGCGCCCCGGGAGGGGCGCGACCGAGCGCGGCGGCGCCGCCCGCGGCGCCTCTGGAGAAGGCCCCGCCGAGCGGGGCCGGGGCCAAACGGCCGAGGAAGCGCAGACGTCCCGGTTCGGGGTTCGAGGGTTCGGGGCTCGAGGTCTTCGGGCGCTTTGACCGCTCCTCGGCGGCTTAGCGGCCTCGCGATGACTTCCAGCGGCTGCGCCTCGCCGACAGCGTTCCAGGCGTGCCAGGATCGTCCCGAACGGGCGCAAAAGGGCCGAGCTGTGCCGCGAAAAACACCAGCGTGGGCCCAGAGATCGCACGCGCATCGCGAGATGCGTCTGGTGGTACATCGGCGGCCCACGGAAGGTTTTCGCCATCTTCGGCCTCCAGGGGCCCCCGCCGCAGAACGACTCAGGAGGAGAAGCCAGTCCAAGGAACTCGGTCGAGAGCTCTCGGGGTCCAGGTTGCGAAAAAAAACGACGTCGGGGGCCTGGGGATGCATCTGGCGGTGCATCGGCGGAGACGGCGTGAGGAAGAGACTGGGCTGGCGGACCTCGCTGCGCCGGCGGTGCGCACGGGCGACCGCCGTGTGACCTAAGGGGGGCCTCCGACTCATCAAGCGGCCCCGTTCCAGGGGCCCCGAGGCACCGGGGCCGGCGGGGACCTCGATGGGCGCCTCCCCGGGCGGCGCGGCCTCCCCGCGCACGGGGACGGCGCGGACGCTCAGCGGCCACCGCTCCGGCCCGGGCAGGGGCGAGGCGCGCTGCGAGAGGAGGTCCACGTGGGCGCCAGAGCTGTCGGTGGCCACCAGCCACGCTACGCAGCCGTCGCCGCGACAGCCCGCACCCGCGCCTCCAACGTCCACCTCCTCTGAGCATCGTGTAACCCGTCCCTACCCCCGCTGGCCTGGCCATGGCCCCACTGGCCGACTTACCCACCCAGGTGGAGATATATGATCCCGGGTCGAGGGTTCACAGGCCACTCCCCCAGATTGGAAGGGTCCCAGGCTTTCACTGCCCCGCCGCCCAACTGGGATGACGGGGAACAACGACGACGACGACGACGACGACGACGACGACGACGACGACGTCCACCCTCCACCACACCACGCCCACAGGGCCACGACCACAGGGGGGGGGGGGCGATCCCATTCGCGAGGCCTTCGCGAGGCTCACTGGCGTACCCTCCAGTGGGGGGGGTGGGGGTCCAATCCCATTAGCATTTGAGGGAGGGGGGCGGGGGCGGAGCCCTGAATCGAAAATGCCCGTTACTTCGGCCTTCGCAGCTTCGCAGGGCACATCCCCAGCTGGGAGGCTAGGCCGGTGGGGCTCGGATGCCATGGACCAGTTGGGGCTGGGAACAATTTGGACGAGATGCTGATCCTCGGGGCCTCCCGCCCCTCTGGCGCCAGGGCCGCACTGGACCGCCCCAGGGTGCCCGCGGGCGCTGGCCAGCTCGCGCAGCAGGTCGCGGCTGAGCTGCTCCCAGCACGTCGCAGGCCCGAGCTCAAAGGAGGCGCCCTCCGCCTCGTGCTGGCGCGCAGCGGTGCCCTCGGCTCCTGTCTGGGGCGCTGGCTGAGCGCCAGGGAGACTGGCAGGGGCCAGGGCTAGGGGGGGTAAGAACACACACGAGTCCGCAAATTTGACCCACTCGCTCACTCAATTGATCCGCTCGCTGGTCCGCCCGTTCATTCGCTCATTCCCTCCCTGCCTCTCTCCCTCCCTCCCTCTCTCCCTCCCTTCCCAGACCTCCGACGTCGCGATTTCTACGCAGACCCCCAAAGCTCTGGACCACACACTGCCGAAAGCCTCCCGCCGCTGCCTCTTCACGGCACGAGGGCGTCAGACCAGACATCGGGCGCCCCAATTGTTTCGAGGCGTGGCCCCCCGGAGGTCTGGACCACCTCCCTGAGGCCGACTCCTCATCCTGAGTCGTTTTCGTGGACGGCCCTGGAGCGCACTCACGGGCGCGCCTGGGCCGCCTCTCGCTGGCCCGCGGTTCCCCCGGGCGCGCGGCCTCGCCGCGCGGCGGGCGCGCAGGCTGGGCGGCGCAGTGTGGGCCATTCCCCCCCCCCTCTCGAAGCTCTCGAAGCTGCGGACTGGCTCCTTCGGTCGAGGCCTCGAAGCTGCCTCGAAGCTGCGACGCCCTCGAACCCAGCCCGGTCGACGGTCGACCGGGGGAGGGGGGGGGGGGCAAGAGAAGGGAAGCCAGGAGGCGAAGGCCCCGCCTTCCCCCACCCCTTCTCCCTCCGTCCCCCTGCCCCTCCGCTACCCTTATTTCCGACTCTCCCCGGGCCACCAGGCCCAAGCCCCCAGGGCTCAAAACGTATGGGGATCCTGGGGAGGGCGCTCGGACCGCGTGGCGGAGCACCTCCCAATGCTTCCCGCATGACGTTCGTGCGGGAAGCCTCCTAGAGGCCCACAGCGGAGGACCCCCTCCTCCCCCTCCCTCCTCCCCCCCTTCTCTCCTCTCTGCCCCCTCCTTCCCTCCCCCTTCTGTCCTCTCCCCCGTCCCTCCCTCCCCCCCCCTGCCCCCCCCCCCCTCTTCCACTCTCATCTCCCCTCCCGTCCCGCGCCTTTCTCTCCCCGTCCCATCCCCTCCGACTCTCGAGGGGTGCGCAGGATCGGGCGGGGTCAAGTGGGCGGCCTTCTGAGAAGACCCACCCACCCTCCACTCCCCCTCCCTCCACACAACTTCCCGTTCGTTGCCATGCGTAGGGGTTTGCAGGGAAGGGGGCAGCGCTTCCGGGAAGGGGGCGGGCGGGTTCGGCGGGGGTCGCGTGGGCGGGCGGGATCGGGGTTCTGAACACCACTCCTTGGGAGCCTACCTTGCAGCGGGGCAGGGGAAAGGGGGCAGCGCTTCCGGGAAGGGAGCGGGCGGGTTCGGCGGGAGTCGGGTGAGCGGGCGGGATCGGGATTCTGAACACAACTCCTCGGGAGCCAGCCTTGCAGTGGGGCCTGGTCTGGATGCGACGCACCTCGCGGGCCGAACGCGATCTGACACGCAGGCGGGTCCCAGGACACCAACACCCTGGGCATCCCCCCAAAAAAACTGACAGGGGGAAAGCGTACCTGGGAGGCTCCTGGGAAGTTCCTGGGACGCCCCCCACACACAAAACTTAATATATGTATATACACAAACTTTATCAAAGATGATATGCCCGAACGCGGTATAACAAAGGTATCAAACATACCGCATCATCTCACACTTCTAACTATACTAGAACATGTTGTGCAATACAAAATGTCAAAACAACAAACAAAAAAGGCAAGGTATATTGTAGTATGATGCATTGACTATACTGTAACAAACATAATACAATGGAATTCGTTCGGCTACAGCAGTATGTTATAAACAAATGGAATACAATATGACAAAATGCAAAATGCCGCGTATTTAAAAAAGAATCGCGTGCCTTGTAATAACATGGAATAACCTATCATTTGACAGAATAAAAAATCATTACATATTATACTTCCAAATGGAGTAATACAATACGACAGACTGGCATGAAAGATCGTATAATTTCGTGCAGTACAATATCGAATAATAGCGTAAAGTCGAAGATGCTGCAATATCATGTAGTATACTCTACTAGAATATACAGTCATGCGATGCACCGTGCTAAGTGCAAACTGATGAACTATTCTAGGATAACACATAATAGAACAGAAATTCATATAACATAGTAGGATAGCATCGAACATATCAGAACAGAGAACCATCTAGTAGACACCATACATTTTAATATATTGCACTAAGATATAAAGTCATACAACAAACCAACAGGTCTTACAATATGTGATACGCTGTGCTGTAGCAGAAAACAATAAAGTAGAATACTCTATGATATATATGTATATGATATACACACACGCATCTGCACATGTTCGTTACAGACAAAACTCGACGGGGGTGGGGGAGATTCCAAGAGGGGGGGGGGGGGCAAACTGCCACTCCCTGCTGGCGCCCGGTGCCCCAAGGGAGGAGGGCGAGGAGGCCCCCCCTCTGGCTCCCGCGTAGTAGACCGCCACGCCGGTGGCCATCGGCGGCAGCGCGGGCGCGTGGTCGGCAGGCTCGTCCCCTGGGACGCCAGATGAGGGATGTGTCGGGGGGCGTCCAAGAGGAGGGGGCGCAAATCATGGCCCGAGGCACGTGCGCGGCCCGGGGGGGGGCAAGGCTTCCGCCTTTTCCCCTTCCTCGCCCTTCTTTTCCTCCTCCTCTTCTTCCTCCTCCTCCTCGAGCCTACTCCTCCTCCTCCTCCTCCTCTTCCTCTTCCTCCTCCTCCTCCTCCTCCTCCTCCTCCTCCTCCTCCTCCTCCTACTACTCCTCCTCCTCGTCCTCCTCCTCCTCCTCCTCCTCCTCCTCCTCCTCCTCCTCCTCCTCCTCCTCCCCCTCCTCCTCCTCCTCCTCCTCCTCCTCCTCCTCGAGCCTCCTCCCTCCTCGAGTTTCCTTGTTTTCCTCCTCCTCCTCCTCCTCGAGCCTCCTCTCCCTCCTCCTCGAGGAACCTCCTCCTCCTCCTCCCTCCTCCTCCTCCCCCTCCTCTTCCTCCCTCCTCATCATCCTCATCCCTCCTCCTCCTCCTCCTCCTCCTCCTCCCTCCTCCTCCTCCTCCTCCTCCTCCTCCTAGTCTTCCTCCTCCTCCTCTTTCTCCTCCTCCCCCTCTTCTTCTCTTCCTTTTCCTTATAAATAATTTCTCCCTGTCCCACCCCGAGGCCAGTTTTTACAGCGGGCCGGGCGTTCTGCCTGAAACTTCCTCACCACTTATGACTCTGAAGCTTAAAAAGTGGCAACAGCTTCGTGGATTGAGGGCAGGTCGTTTTCAAAATGTGACTCTTGCCTGAGCGCCGCGCGCATTCACTTTACAATAAAAACAAATTTCACGGATTGAGGGCGGGTCGTTTTCAAAATGTGGCTCTCGCCTGAACGCCACGCAAATTCGTTTTAACAATGTGCAAGAGCTTCAAAGATTGATGGCGGGTCGTTTTCAACATGTGGCTCTCGCCTGAGCGCCGCGCACATGAGTTGTAAAAGTTGGCAAGAGCTTCATGGATTGAGGGCGCGCCGTTTTTTGGATGTGGCCTTAGCGCAGCGCACATTCTTTTTAAACAGTTGTCAGAGTTTCGCGGATTGAGGGCAGGTCGTTTTCAAAATCCAGCTCTCGCCTGAGCGCCGCTCATATTCGTTTTAACAATGCGAAAGAGCTTCAAAGATTGATGGCGGGTCGTTTTCAACATGTGGCTCTCGCCTAAGCGCCGCGCACATTATTTGCAAAAGTTGGCAAGAGTTTCACGGATTGACGGCGCGTCGTTTTTTGATGTGGCCTTAGCGCAGCGCACATTCGTTGTAAAAAATGTCAGAGCTTCCAGGATTGAGGGCGGGTCGTTTTCAAAATCTGGCTCTCGCCTTTAGCGCCGCGCACAATCGTTTTAGAAATCCGCAAAACCTTCAAGGATTGAAGGCGGGTCGTTTTCAACATGTGGCTCTCGCCGTAGCGCCGCGCACATTCTTTGCAAACATTGACAAGAGCTTCACGGATTGAGGGCAGGTCGTTATTTTAATATGGCTCTCCCCTCAGCGCCGCGCACACTTTTCGTAAATAATTGGAAGAATTTCACGGGTTCCCATGATCAACGTACCAGCAATGCTGTTTTGGAAGGATTCAAGACCATGCGGGTGCAAATGTTGATTCGCGGTGTTGATGTCCCAAAGATGGCTTTCTGGCACGATTCCAGATCGTCAAGACGCAGCAGTCAAGTTGATCCGTGGGCTTGAAATCCCGAGAACAATGTTTTGGCATGCTTCAGGATCTTCAAACGGTTGGCCTCCAACGAAGCAGTTCCCTCAATGAAAATGAACCGTTGTAAAAGGCCTATGAAGAGGGGGCTTGGAAGGAGGGTTGATTCCAGGATATTTGATGATTTTTGGGTTTACACTGGTCCTCCTCGATTCCTTTTCCTTCTTGGTCATTCCTCCTTATAGCACCCCGAGGCAGAGCGGGCCGGGCGTTTCGCCTGAGACGTCCTCACTACTTATAACCGTTTCACAAATGAGAAGCGGGTCGTTTTCAAAATGCGGTTTTCGTCTTAGCGCGGCGTACCTTCATTTTGAAAATGTGCAAGAGTTTCAAACGGTTTGGGGGCGGGTCGTTTTCAAAATGCGGTTCTCGCCTCACCGCGGCGCACATTCGTTTTAACACTGTGCAAAAGTTTCATGGATTGCGGCCAGGTCGTTTTCAAAATGTGGCTCTCGCCTCGGCACGGCACACATTCTTCGCAACAATGTGCAAGAGCTTCACAGATTGAGGCCAGGTCATTTTCAAAATGTGGCCCTCGCCTTAGCGCGGCGCACATTCGATTTAAAAAATTGTAAGAGCTTCACGGATTGAGGGCGGGTGGGTTCCAAATGTGGCCCTCGCCTTAGCGCGGCGCAAATTCGCTTTAGAAATGTGCAAAAGCTTCACATATTGGGGGGCGGGTCGTTTTCAAAATGCGACTCTCGCCTTAGCGCGGCGCACATTCGTTTTAACAATTTGCAAGAGCAACGTGCCAAAAACGATGTTCTGAACGGATTCAGGACTACGCGGGCGCAACAATTATGTTGACTCGCTGTGTTGAACTCCCAGAATTGGCGTTCTGGCACAATTCCGGATTGTCAAACGCAACAGTCAGGTCGATCCGTGGCGCTGGAATCCCAAAAACAATGTTTCGGCATGCTTCAGGGACTTCGAACGGTTGTCTTCCAAAGAAGCGGTTCCTTCAATGAACATGAACCTTTTAAAGGGCCTGCGCAGAAAGAGATTGGAGGGAGGGTTTATTCCAACATCGTTCATGACTCTTGGGTTTACACTGGCCCTCCCCCACTGCTCTTCCTCCTCCTCCTCCTCCTCCTCCTCCTCCTCCTCTTCCTGCTCCTCCTCCTCCTCCTCCGCCTCCTCCTGCCCCCTCCTCCTGCCCCCTCCTCCTGCCCCCTCCTCTTCCTCCTCCTCCTCTTCCTCATCCTCCTCCTCTTCCTCCTCCTCTTCCTCCTCCTCCTCATCATCATCGTCGTCATCCTCATCATCACCATCATCCTCATCATCATCATGATCAGCAGCAGCAGCATCATCATCGTCATCATCATCGTCATCAGCATCATCCTGATCATCGTTTCGTTTTCGTCTGGTGACTGCTTAGGGCCTGTGTGGCCGCAGCTCATGCCTCGCTCAGTTCAAACCGCAACCAGTGCAACTCAGATCGTGAAGTAAGACGTCGTGCTGGTGAGGAATCCCAAATTCCCCGTCTGACTACAATCTAAGAAAACGATGCCACGGCAAGCTCCAACGATAGGAGCTCGGCTTCGCAACTGTCCAGTCCAGGGGTGCACATACCTCCAGCTGCCAGCAACATGCAAGCACCCTGGCCATCGCCGCTCACACCGAAAATACCCCATGCCGCAGATGATTCCTGCGTTCCGCGCCAGCACGCGCCGTCGGAGACCATGACAAAATCCGCGTAGTCAGTAAGCTTCTCTTTCGATAACCAACCAAACGAGCACTTGGAATCAATGGCGTAAATGGCGAGCGCATCCGCTACCGCTTTCTCCTCGCGCGGCACCCGTTGCACCCAAGAACCTGCGGGCCCTCCAATGTTCCAACCGCGCTCCAACACATGACGTGCGAGCATTCTAGGACGGCGTTCAAGCAAAGACGAAAACGATGCAGAATAACGGCCGTCGCGCTACACCACTCGGACAATGGATTGTCATCCACCCTGCAAACAAAAGAACGCCCAACAGAAGCTGGAGAGGCGAGCAGCCTGGATGGATATTGACATGTACACTCTCTCGACTCTCTCTCTCTCTCTCTGGACGAGTACGTGGATGCACTCTGAAACGAGGATATTCCGAAGGTCCCCAGCGGCGCAAATCTTGTTGACGAAGTCTCGCCGGCATGATTGCCAATCACTCCCGTCAGCTGCTGCCCACCAGTTCTCCCCGTGAGCGATCAAGAACGGGTCCCCCCAGGGCGCGCGGCAGCCGCTTTTCCAGCGCCTCCATTTCGCCTCGTTCTTGCCGTCAATCTTCCCCATCGCCGGAGACATGTCCATCCACCACTTCTTATTGCGAGAAACCAATACATCATGTAGGGGCCGTGCTCCTCCTGGCAGACGGAACTTGCAGATGGTGCGCGCCCAAGAATGCGCGGCCGCGATGGCGCTGCGGTGGGCTCTCCACCGGCCGCACTTGTCAAACCACACTTGGATTCTCTTCGACGCTCGCTGGTTGCACCCCTGGCGGCTCTCGTCAGGCCTTCTGCGAAATCCCCAAACGTGTCGTAACTTCTGATTCCCCCACGTCCATATGCGGCTCAAACTGCGTCGATTGAGATGCCAACCTGCAGCACTATACAGTAGCGCATCCCTCACCGTTCTGTTGAACACGCACGTCCTGGAACCCGCATTCCCGAACTTCCGAACCAGCAGATTGCGGCGCGTATAGAAGCAAGAACCGGCCTTAGGCATTCGATGCTCTATGCTGCGCTCGGTGGAACCTGCCCGGTCTAGCATCACGCCAAGCGCGAGTAACTCTGCAATTGGCTCGATTACCATGTTCTCGCCAGCAGGGGAAAGACAGTGGCACCCGAAGCTCTCCGCAACGTTCAGGCTGCAAAAGGACTCTAAGGACGTCGTTTTCCGGGTAAGCCCATGCTTGTAGATGGCGCCTGTAGCACCGTGGAACAAGAGCCCGGCTTCCTCTGCGGACTTTGCGATCAAAAGCACGCTGCCGCATCAAGTGGCGCGGTTCACGTAAGTGGCGTCATCCAAAGTAAACCCAACCTTCTGCTCTCCCCATTTCCCGACTAGATCCTCCAGAGCCGCCTCCATCAATGCGTTGAACAAGTCTGGAGTTTCCACTCCTCCTCGACGGCCGCCTCGCTCATAGGGAAAGTAACTGGACGAGTTGGCATCGGCCATCTTGACCGCGGCGCGAGGGCCCACGAGCTCGTTCGGCAGAGCTGCCGATAGTTGCGGGCGGAGCCCACGGCGACGCAAGGCCCAATCTATTTCCGAATGCTTCATCGCAGAAGGCCACGCGGACATTACC